CTGGTTTTTGGGGTTTTTTTGCTCTCTTTTTCTGGGGGGGTAAAACTTAAGATGTTCAAAGGACTAGTCTTTATTCTGAAATTTTCCTCTCCTACACATATAAACATCCTATGTGAGAAGTCCTTAAGAAATAAAACAATGGTAACAGGAAGTAGTGTGTATCTTTTAAAATGTATCTATTTAGGGGGTGGGAAGGGATCAATTTGGGAGTTTGAGATTTGTAAATGATAATCACTCTATATAAAAATAGATAAAAAATTTCTTCTGTATAGCACAGGGAACTATATTCAATATCTTGTAATAACCTTTAGTGGAAAAGAATATGAAAATGAATCTGTGTGTATATATGCATGACTGGGACATTATGCTGTATACCGGAAACTGACACATTGTAACTGGCTATACTTCAATAAAAATATATATATATCATGTATCTTTTTGGCAAAATGAAGACCTAGCCACTCCATCTTAAATCTCCAATGAAAAAAACAAACAACCAAAACTGGACTGTGAAATCCCAAAGCCAGGGGAGGGAAAATGACCGTTCCCACATCACCGTTAGGGCGGACGGGCACCAGAGCCCAGCGCCCCAGGCTACAGCCCTACTACAGCTCCTGCCTGCAGCCCCTCCCTGGGTCCCACCTGACTTCGGTGATTCTTGCTCAGCCCCTCATTCTCTGCTCCCAGCTGGCACATCCCAGCTCTCCACTTGACGCATCCCCAGCCCCTCAGGGCTGTTCCTGAATGTGGGACCACAAGGCCTGGCTGTGCCCTCCCTTCCTCGCTGGGAACCTTGGGAAAAGTGTTAGACCTCTCTGATCTTTCATCTTCCTGCCCATGAGATGGAGGCAGTGACCCAGGCTGCAGGGTCGCTCAGGATGGATGGGTGTGTCCTCATGCCATAACCTTATAATCTGTGCAGTTTTCTAGTGTCAACGCTATAATCCAATAAAATCATTTATTAGGAACAAACAATCAAGTTCAACTAGCAAAGAGGCTTCCAACAGAGAGAAACTGACATGATTTATCTTGCAGAAATATTACTACCTCCCACTTTTAAATGGGAAGAGTAATTTACTATTTGTTACCTGCATGCAGCTGGCAGAGCCCACCCCTACGAGATAAAAATGTTCAGCTGAGCGCACATCTGGGTCAGTTTGATGAGGTTTTATTTTAAAAAATTAACCTTCCAACCTATTACATTCCAGGAAATGAAAAATTTACACTGGTTTTCCATTTTTAATGGGCTTGCAATAAAAGGAAATATTTAAAGCTTAAAAAGAAATTGATGGCATTTTAAGTTCATTTTTCAAGTCATCCCATATAGGCATAAAAGACAGACACACCTCCTATAAAAAGGGAAACTTCAAAGGCGTTGCTGCAATAAAAAATCAGATACCCATCTCCATGTAATAGACACTAATCTGGCGGGGACTGGAGCCACGCTCAGCACAGGGGCCGAGGCAAGGCTCTCGGTTGTGAACCTGGAGGGGTAGGAGGAAGCAACCATAGCTTCCAAGCCATGACACTCAGGGACTTAGCAACTGAGTCCGCAATATACCCTCCCCGCCTCCAGGAGGTGGGCACTCTGGGCCAACAGGAAGTGACTTCATTGCTCTGGAGTGGGACCACCAGGAGGCTAAGTGGAGGCAGCTGGATAACAGGGGAGGATGGGGTGGCGGGGAGGGAGGGGACTGAAGAGAAAGAAACATCTACTCAAGATGAACCTACAAACCTGACCCCCAAAACATGGGCATAACTAATGCTAATAAAGACATTAAGATCAACCATGGAGATATGAAATCACTGCACATGAAGCGGAAATAACAGAGGAATCTGAAAATGATTTTCAAATAGGAATGTAAGAACATTTTAAAATTGTGAACCCCAGACTGGCTCCAATGAAACAAAAACAGGTGGTCACGAAAAAGAATCAACTAGAAATCCCAGAGGTGAAAAGTGTGATTACTGAGATTAAAACTCAACAGCTGAAATACACTTGGTTGGACTCACTGAAGAGAGAATTAGTTGGCAGGTATTATCGAGAATGTGGCTCTGAAATAAACAAATGAAATAGATAAAAATAAGTTACAGGTAAGAAACACAGAAGGTGGGTCAAGAAGCTTCAGAATGTGTCCAACAACTGCTTCAGAAGAAGAGAATAGAAGGAATGATGCAAAAAGAATGTTCTAGAAGATAACAGCCAAAATCTTTCGCAAAATAAAAAGATATGAATCTCCAAACACAAAATGCAGGAGAGGATAAATAAACATCAATTGATACTCAGATACTTAATAGTGAAACTGTAGCCCTTCCAAGGACAAAGGAAAAAATCTGAAAAGCTATCAGAGACAAAAAGATTATTCACAAAGAAATGAATGGAATTCAGCAGTTCTTGTAGTCTGGAGCAATATTTTCAAAGGCTAAAGGAACGCAGCTGTCATCCTAGAATTCTATAGCCAGCTAAACTATCATTCAAGTGTGAGAACAAAAAACAGACATTTTCAGACATGCAAAGTCTAAGAAAGGGTTCCCCTCCCACAAAACATCCCTGGAAGATTTACCGAAGGGTGAACTTTAACAGGAAGAAAAGTGAACCCAGGAGGAAAGAGAAGACTGCAGGAAACAAGGGTGAACGTGGAAATATGTTGGCTAATTTGGTTACTACTGATTATGAAAATAATATCTAATTTCCTGCGTTACAGAGTAGGACTGAAATTCTAAAAACAGTAACAGAGACTGTTCAGTGGGGAGTTGGAGCTTTCCAAAGAGTATAGAAATACTGAATAACTTTCAGCTTTGTTATGAAATGTTTAGTTAAAGTACATATTGGCAGTTCGAGAAGATTTTCCTTCATCTTCAGCACCAAGGACCACCCCATCTTTGCTCATCTAAACTTGCTGTTGCATATTCAAATAATCCAATCCAGACTGGGCCAATGCAAATACCAACATCACACCCCATTCAAAGCTGGGAGAGCTCCCTCCTCACATCCACGCCATCCACACCTCCTCTCCCCTCCCTCTGGCTTCTGACTCCTCTGTGGGGCGGGAGGGAGAAAGGAAAAGGGGCAAAGTTGAGGCTCACTCAGCTGCCATCAGCGGCTGCCTCCTGCCTGCATAGGCTGTCTTGGGGACTCCCACAGGGACCTCTCCAGGCCCCCTCCCAGCCCTAGCCTGGTGGTTCAGTGCACTCTGGCAGCCAGCCCTCCAAAGACTCCCCACCTGACCCCCCACGGTGCCACGTGGGGAGCAGCAGAAATGCAGAGTGCGGCCACCCACTCTGCCTCTCTGCACACAGGGCCTCCTGTGCCAGCAGACAAGGGCCACGCCTCCCAAGGATGCCACCTCTCACATCCTGGGGCACGGTTCTGGCGACTGGCTGAGGATCTGACCTGCAAGGGGTTCCCTCAGGGCTCCCTCTCTTGCACTGGGCGCAGGGAGCACCCCCCTTCCCCACTCCCCGTCTCTCTTCCTAAAACCTTGCCTCCAGCCAACCCCACTGTCAGATTCTAGCACCCTCTGTGCTCACACGGCCTTGGCTCCAGCACTCCCTGTCTGAGTGCTTTCCTAATTCCCTAAGACTTCATCACAGTCCCATTTCACAGGTGAGGAAACAGAAGCACAGAGAGGTTAAGCCACCTGCTCAAGGTCACACAGCTGCTCAGCGGCACAGCCCAAACTCCATCCCGGGCGGCACACCTCCTGGCACTACTGTGCTCGTCACCACCCTGCCGCCCTGTCCGTCCTTCCGCTGGACTGTTCAGCAATCTCTTGGCAAGTCCTGCGTGGAACATCCAGCACCCCATCTGACACATGCAGGCTCTGTCTGTTCTCTGCTGCTGGGCTTCAGCCAAAGCCTGGGGCATCAGGGAAAGCCCCTTGGATGCAGGGAGCCCAGCGGTTCCCGACATGGGCGGGGTGAGGGGATAAAGGAGTGGTTATTCTCCGCCTGGACTCCTAGCATTTAAAGACTTAGTCGCAGGCAAGGCCTCTTGGGAACGGGCCTCTGGGCTCCTAACCGCAGGCACAGGGCCCGGGAGCTCAGCCCGGCGCCCGTGCCAGGCAGCACGCTGACCCGGCTCTGGGCGGCCGGCGGTGACTCAGCCCCAGGAAATTACAGGTTTCCAAGGACCGGTGGGCGCCTGTCGGAGGAAGCAGCCCATGAGGGCCCTAAATACAGGTTGGGGGAAGGAGAGGCTGGCAGAGGCCGGTGGGGGCAGGGCCTCCTCCGAGGTGACCTGGGTCACGCCTTCCGGGAGTCACAGACAGGCCCCGGCAAAGGGAGGTGGGGAGGACACAGACAGGCCCCGGGGGCGGGGGACCCAGAAGGCAGGTCCCAGCAGGAAAGAGCGGGGAGGGAGCACAGGACGGGCTGGGGGCAGGGACCCGGGGCTGGGCCCAGCCTCAGCTCCCCCTCTGTGACGGAGGAAGAGCCCCCTCGCCTGGTCAGGTGCCAACTGAGAGAGAGATTGGCCCTGTCCAAACCCTGGCGTCTGGAACCTTCCAGCATTCTGAATGGTTCCCACCGAGGGCAGGAATGGGAGGTGCTCTGGCTTTACTGCATTCCTGAGCGGGCTGAGCTCCCCTGTGGGCTAAGGATGTGTGAATGGGCATGGAGAGGTGGGGCCGGGTCTGTGCGCCCCTCCTCCCACTCCCCACATCCCCCCTTGTTTCCCAGCACAGAGTTGGGCACAGAAAGGGACTTCCTATGTTCATAGAAGGGAACGGAAAAGGACTGGCCTCTGGGGTCTCCCTTTCTTCCCAGCCTAATCCCCCAAAAGTCAAGTCGCCTGCCTCCACAGCCTCCCTGCGGGCCCCCACCCAGCGGCCGCGCTGACACACAGACTCAGTGGCCCTGATTCCAGATGAGAAGGAGCCGCAGGATGGCAGGTTCTGAGACACAGCCATTTCCTGGGAATAAAAGCTTGTGAGAAAGCTCTGAGTTTGGTTAGGCCCACAGAACTTTCTAGAGGTTTGTGCAGCCCCCACCCTTGTCTGCTATGAGGTCACCAGGCTCACGCCATAGGAGACATCGGCTGTAGCGCAGAGAAAGGAGATTCAGTCTCAAGAGGTCCCTGGGGCTGGGCCCCAAGCTTTTCTGTTTCCCACCCCGAAAGGCCAGCACACCCATCCTCACAGACCCCCCACTTGTAGGGGTGACCGTCATCTGGGGCAGAGGTCTGCTTCCCAGGTGTCCCCCTCCCTGCTTCTCTCGATCTGCCCCTCACCGCAGGAGCGGTCTGCTGTTTCTCCCCGGCCAGCGCCTCTCAGTGGAGGGTGGATGAGCAGCGGGTCGTGCCCACCGGCTGTGGGGCAGGAGAGAAGCTGGCTGGTCTGCGGGTCCGGCCTGGGGCTCGTGGGTCCAGCAGGAGGCAGCTCCTCTGCTTTCCACAGAGGAAGGTCTGCCCTGGACCAAGGTCAAGCATCCAAGGCTGTCCTGCGAACAGACGCTCCATCACCCAGTCAGATAATTAGAGACCTTCAGTCTGGCTAGGACGGTACAAGCCAGACTGCTCCTGCCCCTCTCTGCTAAGCATGGCTATAAACCCTGGAATGACGCGGGAGGCCGCCAAGGGGGCCCTGACGAGTGGAAGGAGAAGGCGGGCTGGGCAGGGACCCCAAGGCTGCGCTGAGCTGGGAGGATGAGTGGCAGAGCATCTATGGCCCCCCCGTACCCCCCCACCTGTAGAAGCAGGTGACCCAGGTGTGCATTTCCCAAGCCCTGACCTCAAAACAGGAAGCAGCCGAGCAGGCCCGACCCCCCCCCAACCCGGGGTCG